AGCCAACAATAAAAACACGGAGATATCATAATGAAGCTGTTTAATAACTTAATAATGTCAACAGTCATCCCATTTAACACACCCACCCTAGAAATTGCAGTCATCAGCCTACCTGAATGACCAGGACAACCCAGCATTTAAAGCACTTGCGGCCACGTCCGGAAGATGAAACCCACATGCCAGGCACAACAGCTCCCTTGTCCAACCATACTTAGCCCTCAGAGCACATTCATGACTTTAAGCCAAGTGTCCAAACTCTTTATGTGGAGCACAGAATGGAAGTCTCAGCACGAGGCAGCTGAGCGAACAGGTAGCATGCCAAGTGTGGCATTACCTAAAGTCAACACAATCAGCATGGAGCTGTCATCATTCAGCCATCAGGAAACCCAGTCGCTGGGAGGGACTTCTAAATTCTACCTCCAGGAATACAGAAGGGCCTTTTTGTCTCTGAGGATTGCCAACCTAGAATCCATCACAGTGGGCGACTGTCCCACCTTTACTTAGCAGTGCTGCTACTTTTCGCTTGTTTGTTTGATAACACAGCCACTGAGGGTGCCTTTTGTTGTAAGGCAGGATGGCAGTCCTGGAGGGAAAGCACCATGGCTTAAGTTCCTTCACTAGTGGGGCCATCAGCATCCGTATCTCCATCTCCCAGGACAGCACACAAACTGCAAGTCTCCAAATGTTCTTCTCCAGGCAGCGTCTGTTCACCTCTCCTATCATGGCTGGTTTTAAAAAGGCAAAGACTTAAAAACAAACAAGCAAATAAAAACATAATGAAGCATGGCTCTAATGATTAATCATCAAGCATACAGGCAGGAAATAACAGGCTTCGGACGCTTGCTGCAGGAACATCTAATGTAAAACAAGTAACAAGTTTTGAAACCATGGACCAGAGCCTGAACACCTCCATTCTTGGAGGGCAGCATTTTCTTATATATCCTCTTTCTGGCTCAGTGAATCATGCTTTCTTTTTCTGGATAGCAGCACAGCTTCAACCAAGAGAACTGAGGATAACACTCAGCTTGACGACTGGGATATCTGCCTGGAAAGTGGAAGATGTAGGTTGATGGCTCCAGGCAAAAAAGGAAACTGAAGCAGGGTCTACCACATTCTGAACAAATGCTTTAACTAATAGTTTTTAAAAAGCATCAGCGCGTCCTCTTGCAAATGCCTTCCAAAGCTGTCACTGTATTTTGTAGAAGAGCGACTGCAGCATATATTGGAGATGATCGGAGAATTCCCACCTGACAAAAATCCCCAGGAACTACAGTTAAAGAACAACATCCAGAAAGCAGGCGGCGATGAACTGGGCATCCCGCTAATCATCCCTCATACAAGGGGGAAACAAACATCAATTCCATTTCCCAGAAAATCAAAGCTGTCAGCTATGCTGCCCACAGTGCCCAGGCACCCTCAGAGCTTGATGGTATGAGACAGGGTTTTCAGGGCCACAATTTTGACCAAGAGCATCTCAACCAGGTTCACTCTCAGTGAATCTACTCAATGATAAAAGTTGGAGGGGAGAAGATCAGAATCAAAGGTGTAACTTCAAGATAAAATCGCACCAATTGCTCCCAGGTCCTCCTAAACTCAGCACTGAGACCAATAAATCTGGAAAGTGAATGTTATATTGAAAACAGGAACACATGTTCATTAATTTCAATTTCAACTCAGTTTTCAGTTAGCTACCTACCCAGAGCTCATTCTTTTATGTAACAGAAGTTTATACAATTCATACAGTTAAAAAGCCATTCACTATGATAAGCACACCTCTCAGTCTCCCATTTACTAACTGACTACATTTTTCCCCTCCGACAAGCTGCTGTTGTTCTGTTTACACACTGGCTCTGCAGTACCCACTACCAGGCAAAACCCACAAACACAGGATCAAAGAATCACAGAATCACAGAATGACCTGAATTGAAAAGGGCAGAATCACAGAATGGCCAGGGTTGGAAGGGACCTCAAGGATCATCAAGCTCCAACCCCCCTGCCATATGCAGGGCCACCAACCTCCTCATTTAATACCAAACCAGGCTGCCCAGGGCCCCATCCAACCTGCCCTTGAACACCTCCAGGGACGGGGCATCCACAACCTCTCTGGGCAGCTGTTCCAGCACCTCACCACTCTCTCTGTAAGAGAGAAAGAATTTCCCCCCTGCCGTCCAATCTAAATCTTCCCTCCTTCAACTTAAAACCATTTCCAGGACCACAATGCTCATCCAGTTTGAACCCCCTGCTGTGTGCAGGGTCACCAACCACCAGACCAGGCTGCCCAGAGTCACACCCAGCCTGGCCTTGAATGCCCCTAGGAATGGGGCATCCACAACCTCCTTGAGCAACCTGTTTCAGTGCGTCACCACCCTCTGTGCGAAAAACTTCCTCCTAATATCTAACCTAAACCTCCCCGGTCTCAGTTTAAAACTAATCTCCCTTGTCCTATCACCATCCAGCCTCGAAAACAGCCGTGAAACATCCATCCCCCAGCACACTGCGCTGCCTAAACAAACCTGCTGAGAAACGCTTCGAGATATCAGACAATAGCAGGGCTAGAAAGCCATCTCTGCTGATTACTTTAAACACAAGCGTGAGGCTTATCAGTTATCGACGCTGTATCAGCGCAGGAAATTCACGGCAACTTGAACGCTCGTTCACCAAGGGCTTTCAGCACTCTGTCAGCGCGGCGACGCTCCCCACGAAGTGCAGATAGCCTCACGTGGACAGCGTCGCTCAGTCAACGGAACGTGCGAGACTCAGCGCTCCCCCAAAGCTCCGGACGCGGCTCAGGCAGCAGCACACGCGGGACGCGCCCCGACTTCCGCGCCCGGCACGCAGCGCCGTCGCTCGCGTTCCTATTGGAACAGACGCGAGGTCCACCCGCACGGCCAACTCCAGGCGCGCGATGAAGGCGCCCCGGAGCCCCCAGTGCGGCGGGCACCGGCAGACTCCCCGCCCGCTCCGAGGGGCCCCGAGCTCCCGGCCTTTGTTACTCGCCCCCTCCTCGCCCCGTGCCGCACGCGGAGCGAGGAGCGTGCGGCTTGAGGCAGCCGAAGGCCGCTGCCCTCCCCGCGCCGTGCCGCCGGGCGGCGAGGCCTCTCCCGCAGCGCTCCGCTCTCCCGCCGGTCCCACCGCCGGCACCGAGGGGAACAAAAGGGGCCGCCCCGGGCCCGCCCCCGCCCGGCGCCTCGCACGTGGGGACCGAGAAAGGGCCGGCCCCGCACCGCCGTCCCCCGCCGCGCCTCACCTGCCTGCTCCTGCCGTACGGAGGCTTCGCGGCTCCCAGGTGGTACCGCCGGGTCCGGATCTTGCCGCCGCCGCCGCCGCCGGCTCCTCCTCCCGCTCCTCCGCCGCCGCCCGAGGCCATGGTGGGACGCGGCCCCTCGGCCGCCCGCCGCCCCGCCGGGCCGCTCCCTCGCTCCGCGCTGTCACCGCCCGTCCCCCGCCCTCCACGCGCCGCGCGGCCTGGAAGGAGCGGGGGCCCCGCGCGGCCTGCCCCTCCCCTCCTCTCCCCTCCGCCCCGCTCGGCAAAGCTCCGCTCCGCCGGCCTTCCTCCGCGCGCGCGCGCGCACCCCTTCTCCTCGGCCGTGCGCGCGCCCCCCCTCGCCCCGCTGCCGCGCGCCCTTTGCCCGCTCCCGCCTCGCGCGCTCGGCGCCGGCCGGCCCCGTCCTGCCCGCCCGCTCGCTCGCGGCCGAGCCGCTGCGCCCCGCCCCCACCCCCCTTCGGGCTCCGGCTTCGGCTCCGACCAACCACACTGCGCCTCTCGTCAACCGGACGCGCCGTCGCGTCATCCGGCCGCGACGGACCGGCGTGCACCGCGCCGCGGGGTGGGCGGGGCTGCGCGGGAAACCCCGGCGCGAGCGCGGGGCGCGTGGGCTGGTGGCGAGCGGAGCGGGAAGGGCGATCAAAGCGGGCGGGGCACGGCCTCACTGGGCGGGCGGGGAGAAGGACGGAGTGCAGCGCGGCCTGCGCTTCCTCGAAAGGAAATACGCCTTTCTGTTGTGAATTGGAAACACGTAAAATAATTGTCCTTTTGTAGCGTGGTACTGAAAGGGTACAGCTGTGGCTCTGTGGTACGTTTAGCGCAGTGATTTGTGTGGGGGTGAGCAGAGCAGGGAGGCGCAGCACCTTCACTGCACAGAATTCAGCACGAATGTGCATCCTCAGGTACAGAATGTGCTAAAAATAGTGTAGGAGGTGGCAATCACAGAATGCTTTCAGGTGGAGAGGACCCAGAAGGTGACCGAGGCCATCGCATCATCTCAGTGGCACAGATGCCCGCATCCCTCTCACCTGTGTCTGCCCAAAGTCCACACCTGAGGGAAATGCTGATCAGTGAGCAAAGGAACTGCCACAGGAGTCTCAGTCAGGAGTTTTGCACTAAATCTCTGCTGCTTGTTTCAGCCTTGGTTTTTTTTTTTTTTTTTTTAACCCCCCCCTCTGTTTTTTTCCCAGCTGTCTTCCAGAACTTGCTAGCTTTCTTTTCCTCAGTCCTGCCTCCACTGCCGTACAAGTGACTTCTGAACCCTCCTCCCCCCCAAGCAGAATTACTTGCCAGGTAGTTCATACCACACTCTGCACTTTCAGAGCTTTCTTCTCCCACCTGCTGTCAGTACACCTTCATTTGCAGCAGGATGGTTTGCATCAACACCGTCCTTCCACAACATGAAAAACCCTCATCTTTAGTCTAGAACATGATTATCATACTAAATTCTAACTTAACAGAAGGGTTTCACAATGCATTTCCAATCTGGGAGGAGCAAGATTCACAAAGAGAGATAAACTGCCTTTTGAAAACACACTGAGCAGAGAAAATGCTGACTTCTGGAATGGCATCTCCTTGGGGATCTGACTAAAATCACATCTGCATTGGCTATCTAATAGCTAGGCAGAGGTAGAATACAATTCCCTTTTTCTCATGCACACTAATTACATTAAGGTAACCATATTATGGTAACATGATTTTCTTTTCAAGCTCAGCATCAAAGGCAGCTACGCTGTTTTCTCCGTAAATTCAAATGCTGCTTTATTTATTTTGCTTCCATTTTTCTTATTTAGAACAATTTCTAAACAGTGACAGGCCTTTAATGACACTCATGACTCAGAAATGTTTGCAAATGTAGTCAGTGTCCATTAACATGTGTCACTTAGGTTAATTGTTGCTAAAAGTGAGCCAAAACAAAAAGGCAAATATATATGCATCCAGCAGTATGATAATGATCATCACCATTTGATCAATCTTCCCTGTGAGTTATATCTGCACGTTACTTTGAGGTAGCGCTAGAAAGAAGCGGTTGGTCCAGAGCATCCCTGCAAAAAGAAACATTCATGGCTTAAGTACCATTTACTCTTCATGCATTCTTTTAAGAACTCTTTAACCTTTCTTGACAGTTGCTTTTTCCTTGCTCACTGACCACGAGATTAGTAGTAGCCCCTCAAACCTTCCTGATCACAGAAGAGATAGGAAATGAAACACTACTATTCTTGAACAATCTAGCAGGTTCTGTGTAAAGGTACCCTCTATTGCAGCTGTACCCAAATGAAAGAGTTTATGAAATTACTCATTACTGGGTATTCTTGTAGAAAACTTAAAACAAAAGTAAACACCAGTTCAGCTGGGTGAAACAAAACAGAACTAGAAGCAAGCTATAGTGGGGTTGAAGTAGTATGTATATATTTTTAAATTAACAAGTCTGAAGCAAATCAAGCTCCCATTGCCATCCCATCTTTGCAGATCTGATAAACTGACAGCAGACACCCACATGATGTGTTCAGCTAAAAAGGCTGGCAGTTGTCAAACAGCTGTGAGTTTACTTAGTAAAAAGACTCAGAGAAGCACTCTAGCAGTTTTGGTGCAATTCCATCTTCCTGTACTGGCCATCCACTAGTAACAGCACAGGAAGAAACCTGCCATCCTCTGTGCTCTGATGGCAAAGAATTGTACTGCACACACTATCCTAATCCCATGTACACACTCCTAGCGGGAAAGAGGAATACACCAGTAAGTCTCAGGAGACAGAAAAAGAGGTCAGAAAACTGTTGTAGAACTGTTGCACGCCAGCTGCAACCAACACCCTTTTCCTCACCTCATTTCTGTTAGTGTTGACTGCAAGAGAATATGCTTCCAACATTTCTCAGATCTGGAGAACTAATGGCCCAAGCAATTCTCATTCACTGAGCTACAAGAAAATAGTACTTTCACTACCTAGGCACTTCATAGTCCAGAACAGAAGGAGCATGTATCTGACAACAGTCATAGAGCATTAAGACTGCACAAAATGGGGCGGCCACAGACTTGTTTTTCTGAGGTTGGCATACTTTGGTCATACACCATCACTGTATCAGACTAAGTGAAATCACATACCTACACGGGCCCCTCATTACACAATTCACATATTATAGACCAACTTTGCTAATACAAAAAAAATTAGCACAGGTACTTCACAGTATTTGATATGGCAACAGATATCCCTAATATCACATTTTTGGTGGATAACAACAAATATTTCCATAACGTAATGAAGGCAACCTAAACACAGGGTTCAGTGATGCTATGCAAACTTTGTCAAAGCAGTTATTATGCAGGCACAGACCTGGAAGCAGTCTTGCTGCTAATCAGGATGCTAGATATAAAGTCCTTTGCTTAGCTGACCAATTTGTACTTTTAAGCTCAAGCACCACAGCTATGTACAACTGAAGTGGCAAACCTTGTAAGCTTTTGAAGCTTTAACACCACCATCCAAACTCAAGAAGCCTATGCTTATCATCTCGAGTTTCTCCCCTGCTTAGTCCCCTGAAACAATTCCATATATGCACACAAGCAAGTTATTTCCCTCTAAATTCTCTCTGCTTCATCCTTCACCTCTACCTAACATCATGTTCTTGTTACTAAATCCCCTCACACTAATGCTCCAAAGGCTCACCTCACACAGGGGAATGGCACAACAAATCCCTGTACTGAGCTCCAGTGTGTCTCTGCTTTGGGGAGAGCTAGCTGCAGCCGCTCAAAGTGATGCCATTACCCCTGCCTTCCTACACATATGCCTGCACTAAAAGCAGGAAGAACGCATTTCTAGTAGTCCAAAGGCCTCTTCTATTTCAGAACGACCTGGCTTCATGGCAACATTATGACAATATTACCACCACAACTTAAACAGTGAAGAAAACAGAGGGAATTTCTGGTCATCAGCTCATTCAGGAATAGCACATAGCTTATAACCACTACTTTCATTACCTGCATCAAGCCATAACCTACACCACGCCATAAAAAAAAGGCCAAAGAACTTAATTCTTGCCTGCCATCACAACAGTTAGATCTCCCCTACAACACACACAGTAGTATCAAACCACCTCACCTGGCTTTAGCAGCTTCCACAGCTATTGTTACAGCAATTTCTGCTCTCTTTTTTCCTAGAATATTCTACTGTCTCTAACCTGACCTATTTATCATTACATACATTAAGTAACAAGTAATCCAATACACAGAGGGTTAACTAAACCCTATGTCTGGAAAATAATTTATAGCTTTCATATGAGAGTAGTTTAGAACCACATTGCTAGCTTAAAACTAATTTTCCTGCCTTCCTTTCTTTGAATAGTCATCACTTCATCTGTAACCTCATAACTATAAAAACATTTAAATCACCAGGAATATCACAGAAATTGTCAACGACAGGGAGGAAATTGGAGAGTTGTTACTAGGATATTTGTGTTTTTGGTTGCTTTTTGTTGTTCCCAATGTGTTATTCCCTCCTTTGAGCCAGCAAGTTATCTCCAATAATTTTCAGGTTGAAAAGTGCATTGTATACATGTGTATACAACATGCATACTGTAAATGTATGAAGTGTGAGCTGAGAAGTATAACACTTAAAAAGGTAAGCAAGAGCTGAATGCTGAGGCTGAAATTGACAGCAGGGATCATCCTTAGTCCATGGAACTTTGGCAGCTATGGCAGCTGAAGTCTGAACTTCTGTATGCTTAAAGTACCATATTTATAAACCAATTTTAACTGACGCAGATTAACAACAGTGCCAGATGTCTGCAGGAGGAAGGGAGCACAAGAAATTTCATAGCAAAACCTAGGAACATTTCCCACCCTGTACTTTTGAACTAAACAAGTAGTCTACAAAGTGAGTGCTAGATTTTGCTAGTGTCCTAACACCCATACAAAAATAAAGATGAATGAGATGCCCTTACTACCCCCAATTAAATTCTGTAAGCCAGAAGAGAATGTCCTACACACATGTAAGAGTGAAGTCCCTTGCTGGCAGGTTTGCAGAAACAAAATTTTATTTACACAGGCAAGTCTATCTTTAGACCTCAATTAACTCTTTACATTTCTAGAATATTTACATGATTTCATGATGCTCCAAGAATAGAGTGATGAACAACAACAAAAAAAAAAGATTACAGAAACTGTCAAAAGCATAGCAAAAAAAAATCCAACCTATCGTTGTGCTTTAAAACTTATGATCTAGAATAATGTAGAAGTGTAGTTTTAGCACCTTGGTCATAACGGCCATGCTATATAAGACACTTAAATAGCAGAGGGGATTTCAGAAGTGACCGTATCCAGAGGTTGCCAGTGACAATTCATAAGCGAATCATAGAGTTCTTCACTTGTCTCCATAAATTGTCTGTTCATTTCATCAACATCCAAATACAACTGTGGATCTGAAAATAAAAGCCCAGTAAGTAAAGCATCAGCACTGAGGTATGCACACCAAAGTCTCAAGAGATACACCTAGTACAACATTTTTGCTAACCAAAGTAAATAGATTTAGTAATAATTTTAATAAGGCGTTTATTCCCCTAAAACTTTAAACAAACCTGACAACTCCAATTTTCTTCTGGGGATTTGTGTATTAGAAGGCTAGGACTCTATTTGTCATTCAAGATAAAATCAGGTTTAGAAATAATCAACGACAAAACCTTCACAAAAATCATGTATTCATTTCTGCTATACTAGGTACTCCATGTAATAAAGCTTTGAACACAAGAGCAAGATGCCTCCGTACGAGGAACTGCCTGCAAGCTTCCCAAGACCAAGAATTACATTTTGTACCAAATCTGGAAGTGCAAGCTGAACCCCCCCCCTTTAGAACCTGCAATGTAAAGCTTTTACCTCACGGTATGGAAAACAAAGCTCATGCTTATGAATGAGTTTCCTCATGTAGAATCTGCTCAGTGGATCAATACAAGGAAAATAAATCCCACATCAGAACTTTTCAAAACAGACTGAAGGCACAATTACAGGAACCCTACTGTAGATGCCTCATTTCATTTCATATAGCATATGTCATATTAGCTTTAAAACCCCTAAGTGATCTCAGATGAACCACAGAGGGCTGACTCTTGTATCAGCTCCATTTCCAAGATCCTCTTCCAGTTCATCCAGCCTTGTATTGTTTAAGGGCACAAGTATGGCTAAAGACAGAAGACACAATGACAGAATCATCATTACCTTCAGTAAGCAGGTCATCACTGATTTCAGCCATAGCCGAAGATTCCTGCAAGACAGAATGTAATCATTTTACAAAGCTTTATAAATTCAAAATAATGCTGTTACCCTGAGACATCCTCTCTTTCCACAGACATACAAAATGCCATTTACCCTTGCAGTTACTTTTAAATGAAAGCAAGCATTAGAGTAGAGGTTGGAAGGGACTTCTGCAGGTCATAACTGACTAACTGACCAAGATAAGCTCATTTACAACAGCTATCTGCTCTGAGCAAAGCATACTGGGGAAGAAAGAACAGGAGAAGCATACATAGTTGTGCTGTCAAAACTGTTATTTGTTATACATAAACAAATAACGTATCAACCACTAATTCTGTGCAGAAACTATAAGCACTATAAGCACAGATACCTCTGAAGGCAGTCTGCTGTTCTAATCTCCATGCTAAGCAGAAAGCATAGTTTCAGTTTCAGAACATATTTGCTCCAATTCACACAATTTGTACAGCTATCCATAAAGTTTCCTTATTTAAGACAAGTGCGTAATGTGTTTTACCTCAAACACAGCTGGGGCCATAACAGCATCTCCTAAAGAGCAGTCCCCAATAGCTTGCATGCTATCATAGGCAGCATAGGAGTTGTAGTTATACTCAGCATATGCATCATAATTCCACTGTGAGTAGTAGTTCTGATAATCCTGGTAATAATCATTGTAGTTGTACGACTGGTACCGCTGGAATTCTGCTTTCAGTCTGAAACACGAAAAGTTGAGAGTTTGAGAACCACAAACTGTAAACCCAGTTTTCCAGTTACACAACGTGCCAGCTTACACATTTCAAAGCTTAAAAGGAAGCTTTCCTAAACAGCTGCATTAAGTGACAGCTTAAGGCACGGCACAAGATCTTGTATTTAAACAGAAGCAGATGTCCTCACCTTTGCCAATATCAAAAGCAATTGCTTTGCATTAAATCCAGAGCTTTGACACTATTATCATACAGAGTATTCTTAGTGTTGGCATAAGCAAGCTGCTCATAAGCCTTTGTGCTCTGCAAAGATTAATTTAAGACCAGAGACATTTATCAAGCACAGCTGCTTTAAAGATGCAGTCTTAACCCTTTCATATTTTGTTTGGTTAATTACAAGATATTTCTTCCAGAAAGATGTGAATGAAGTCACATTATCCATTGCAGAGAAGCATCTTACACTGCCTGCTAGTTTGCCTCTACCTGCACAGTTTATTTTATCAAGCATTCAATAGTGGCCAAGAACAGCTGTCAGGTGAAGCCAGTCTTGCTTAACACCATACTTCTAATTGTTCAGCAAGACAACCAAATCAGTGGGGAAACTATGAAATACACTTTTTTTTTTTTAAATGAAAAAGGGGCCATGTGATTAATTTTCATTACTCCCCCTTGCCTGAGATTTTCTCTGGGGCAGCCTCACACAAGTGGCGAGAATCAAGACAAGGGTTATCTTAACTAAAACTAATGCACACTGCATAAAGGACATTCAGATAACCATGCTACATACTGCAGAAAATCCTTTTTAGACATGTTTTCACTAATTCTATACAGGCAGACCTCCTCTTAAAGTGGGGAAGCAGAAAAATCAGTCATATACATTTTTGTGTGCGCTGAATAGAAACTGAAGGAGTTCAGAAACAATCACCAAAATGAGTAAAAATTCATGTCAAACTGTTTAATTTGACAACTGGGTATTTTGATGCCAAGACAGATACTGAGCCCTTCAGAAACATACTAATGATGTAAATTTTAATACCTACGTTGTATTTGTTTCATCACTGTAAAGTACATAGGTCTTAATATAGATATCCTATTGTCCTGCTCCTGTAGGGAGCAATTATCTTGAGACTTCTGCTTCCAACTGCATTCCTCCTTACGAGTACTGTTAACATCCTTCTGGACAGCAGAAGCAGGGAAACATGTTTGTGTGACCTGTTTTGTTTCTAAAATAATTATGGTCACAGCAATTTTAGATAGTGCTCTCTCAGGCAACAGCATTTCCATTCTAAAGCAAAAAGAGGCAACATGTGCAGAATTATGCCAGGTAAACAGAAACAAAAGTAACATTTCTTTCTGTTGAACAGAATACACAAGCTAACCTCACATACATACTGAAATTGTTCATATGAAGGGTTTTTTCCCAGTATCCTGGATCAAAATTTATCATATTTAGTATTAATTCTTTTAAATGTTCGGAATTGAATTGCCTTAAGTAACTGACAGACCTGAGATGAAAAGAGTGAAATCCCTCTCAGAAAGTGCTACACTCCCCACTGCCTAAGCTACTGGAAAGCAGAGAACAGTACTTTGAAAACAGTTCTAGCAAAACTCCCCTTGACTTTCTCCCTATATTCCTACGTTTTCTCCCCACTTAAGAATTCCTTTCCCCACCAGCCTACTGTAAAACCAGGGATGTGCTTCTTTCCTCTAACTAGAGAGAAAGGTCTAAGAACAAAAGCTCCCTGTCCCTTCTACTTTATTCAAGCCCAAACCTGAAAAATATTTACAAATGCATTCAGCTTTGCTAAGAAATGAAATAAAGCTGGCTGCAAGAGCAGATAAGCCCAAGCTACACTGTGTGGTTAGACTGCAGTTGGATTCCCCCAGCAATCCTGAAACAGGCTGATAAATCCAGGGAGTCAAAACAATCTCTCTGCATTTTTGATTTTGTAGACTGCATCCTACAGCCAGTGTTACAGCTGTTACAGCAAGGGCCACAGACTTTACAAAGGCAGAGCTACGAGAATCTGATTATTTAGAATAACTGTATCAATGCACAACTCATTGGTTACCTTTTAGAAATTCCTATGCTCAGCCGGATTCGTTTTCCCCCCAGACCTGGTGCATTCTGGCAGTCTTGCAGTGCCCTCATCTGATCACCTTGCTCACCAAATCTGACATAGGCATACCCTCTACAATTTTCAAAAGGGAGAAAACAAATTCTAGTATGCATAACAGTTACAAGACTAATGAATTCAGTTTGTCTTCTACAAAAACAGAAGGTAGCAGCTACTATCGCTTCTATTACTTAAGCAACCTCTCTGGCATACGCACATGCACGGAAGAGGCTTTCACCAAATCAAAAACTTGGGCCAGAAGTAAAAAGCCTGCTCTTTGCTAGCAACTTGCTGAGAGCCAGCAGAATAATACATTTTAACTGCTATCTGCATAAGTAATCAGATTCTATATTTCTGCATAGACAGAGTTCATTTATCAGTTATTAACACACTCCTTCTACTGTAGAACACTAGTATTCTTTTTAACTGCCTTCTCTTAAGCTTCTTGAATTAGTCTGTTACAGGCAGCACCGCCTGAACATAAACTCCTGCATTCCTGCTTGAATGACTGCATGGCCAACAGTTTCAGCTAGGCTTTAGTTACTATCAGTGAAATTGCATTCAATCTCCCAAACCCCTCAGATTTGCCAGGCCTCGTGCTTTTCTCCCACACAAAGAATGGGAATTCTGACCTCAGTATTGCAAATGACAGATACAAAGCGGCACCGATTTCAGTGCACAGCTCTCCCTTCTCCCAGCATCTGATTATTTTTTTTTTTAATGTAAATCTACATAACTAAATCAAAGGTTTTCAAAGTTAACTAACTGCTTAAACCAGCGTTTCAGAAACTCAAGGACCTGTGCTGCTAAGAAAAGCAGTGCTTAAAACTAATCTCATTCCTCTTGCTTCAGAAAAAAAGCAGGGAAGTTCTGCCACGAGTTCTTACATATCACTACAGAAGCAGGCACAACCAACTGCATTACAAATTTACACTGAATTACCTGGAATATCCCAGCAGGTCCGTTGCTATTTTGCAGTCAAGACATGAGGGATACCTCTTTAGGAAATAGTCATAGAGCTGGAAATCATCCACTTCTGGAGTAAGCTCCCCAACAAATATTGAATAATCCGGTCTTTAAGAAGATAAAGAACAGTTTTAAAACTTTCAGACCAAAATAGTGATTCCAGTATTAAAACAATTATTATATTACAGCTTGTTAGAACCAGACAAATTAGTCTAGAGTACTTCAGTGCAAAAGACACTGAAATGTACAGAACTGCAATGCCATCACACCAGCATACAGTTCTCTGGTACTGTAGGTCTAACTCTACTGCTTTAGCAACAAGGATCCATTTTCTTTCAGAAATTTGTTTCAAAAATCAACATATTTACTTGGTTATATATAATATATATATCAGGGGGATGGAACTAGCTGATCTTAAAGGTCCCTTCCAACCCAAAGCATTCTATGATTGCCTAAACAAGAGGCACAGAAATACCCTGACAAATTAGCTCATACTTCAGTCATGGCTGTGACTGTTTTGCCACCACTTGCCAGTGACCACAGAGTTTTTCAAGTGAGTGATGACATTCAGTGGTCACCATCAACCTCAGCAGATAAAGAGAGCCAGAGCTTTTCATGTTCCAAGGGCTTTACCTGACTGTACTGCTGGTAGTAGTAGTAGCACTAACAAACTCTATTCTTCCTGGTTTTATTTTGTTCTTTTTCTTCCGCTTCTTCTGCGGTGTTCTCCACCAGCTGTAGGCCTGGAGACATTCGCGCTTTTTCCCAAGTAAATCCTGTTGGGATAAAAAACACCTCTATAGTATTTAGCCTCATTTACATTCCTCCCTCCCACTCCCCATCACCACAGGTGATTTCCCCATATTCACCTTGCCCTTGAAAGAAGCCTGGGGTCCCATTTCTCCCTCCGCCTCCCATGAGGGAAAGCAGCCTCTGGGGAAAACGCCTGGCAAAAATAACAGAGCCAAAGGATTGTATGAACAGCCACATTCCCCTGACTTGTCAAGCTGGCTAATGGATTGACAGCTTCCTCTTGGAATTCGGAAGAAAGCAGTTAGTCCTTCGATGCTGGTCAATCCTAAATGTTAAGTAGCTCCAGGACTGGACTGTGCTCCACCTGAGCTCTAAGACTCTCAAAAAAAATAAAAAGCCTTCAGTGGCACAGCGAGCCAAAAAAATTTATATATCAAACTATCATTCTTGCTCAGAAAGGGATCTCAGCTGTCCCTACTTCTCCTCTCCTAGGAGGTCTTCTTTGCTTCTATGAGATGCCTCTCCTCACTAGCTAGCAGTGGGCTACTCTCCCAGGCCAGGAACAACAACAGGAGGCCCATTAATGGAATGTAAGAAGAAAGAAGACCACAAACCAACTTGGCTGAGGGAAAGCGCTAAACCCAGATGCAAGGCCAGGAAGAAAGAGGCATAAAAAGCACCTCAAAAAAAAAAAACAAAAAAAAACAAACTGCAAACCCCAAAAGCCACAGTTTAAAAAATGTGGGGTAACAAAAAAAAAAAAAAAAAAAAGCCATATTAACAGGTTGCCTCCCTCATTCAATCTTCTGAAGAACGATTTCCAAAAACAAGAATGGTATTTTTCAGTATCATTTTTAACTTTACTTACGCAGCGTTTAACGTTCTTCCTCTAGAACACCTCTACATAACTTACATAGAGAGTGTTATTTGCAAGATCCTTCAGAAGAACTCATGCTCAAATAATCCAAACTGCAAAGTTTAATGCCATGCTCCCAACCTGTTTCGGTTGTTACAATTAAGCATACACAGGACAACCACCAGTTACCAGAGGAAATCATGGGACTAGAAGAATACCCCACTCAGAGTGAGCTAGCTATTTCAGCTTTACATTCACCGGGGATTCTGAATGTTCTGGAACCCATTTAGATGCTACAAACCTGAATTTCTCACCAAATGATCTTACCTGGCTCGTCATGGTTGAAAAAAAAAATCTGTCTTCTGCCTTCTTTCAAGGGACGCAGATGCAACAGTTCAGTTTATTGCAATCCTTCAGCTGAAAGAAAGTGTGAGGGAGGACCAAGAATCTTAATTCTGAAATCAATTAATTTCAAAGATGTTCACTCTAACAGTTTTAACATTATTAATTCACAGCTAGGGAATGTAAGTTCTGACTTGTCATTGCTAAAGCAATGGAAATAAAAATGATGTATGACTAAGGGCATTACAATTAGAAGTTGTAGCAGGTCACAGATTTTTCCTGCTGTCCAAAGCACTACAACATTTTATAAACAGCTTTTTAGTTACCTACAGTTTACTCCTGTCTAGAAAACATACCAGATCATAATTTACAAGCTCTAAAATAATTAAAAACAACGCAACAAAACGCAAGCTGTTTTCTACAATATCTCAAGGCTTGCTTTACCCCATTCTCCACCCCCTTTTGAGCCAAATAAGGATTTGTAACTTCCTATTGCACAGAGTTACACAGCTGAAAAGGAGCAGTGATACCTCCTAAGCACTGATGAATAAGAGAGTAAATAAAGAAAGAATAGTAAAGGTAAAATTGATCCAACTGTTCCTTCTCCAAATCTTTTCTTAGTTATATCTTGTCTTTTGTCTCTTCTCAGACTTCCCTACAAATGAATTAGCAACAAAGAGGGACCTTTTCCTACTATTAAAATCCTGGATACCCTTAAGAAGCATACAGCTATTTCCAATTGATAACCTTTCCTGTCCCCCAGAAAACATTTTCATTTACAGAATACAAGGGCTGCTCTAAAAGTAATGCCCCCTATGTTATTATGTTGACCCACGATGCCAGAGGTGGATGTTGTTGTGTGGCAGTAAAGGCTGAACCTTCCCACCAATAGCCCATTCCACGTTGTTGCCATGGGACAGACAGCAGCAGAGGGGCAGCCTGACAAAATGGCACCTGACATGGAAGTGTGGATGAAGCAAAGGGATGGAATTTAATTCCTCCATGGAGAAAAAACAGCACCCACTGACATTCATCAACAGTTGCTGAACATTTAAGGAAACCAAAAGGTAGATGTGAGCACAGTAAATGATGTATTTCAACAGTAGCAACAGTGGGTCACCTCTGCTGGTACAGACTTGCAGGCTCTTGTTCATGGCTACCAAAAGCACACAGCTAATGTTGGTGACTATGTTGAAAAACAGTGCTATTAGGCTTTTTCTATCTGTTGTAGCTTTCGTGGAAATAAATGGGAGGCATCACTATCAGAGCAACCTATGGATTGTGTGCAAGGGGATAATACATTTCCAATTCACCACTACTTTTTGTCTTTATATCCAAGGTAACTCTTCTAAGCAAACGCTTGATTGCTGGAATTTAACTCCCATTTCCACATAACGAGTTATGTAACACTCTACAAACTGATTGGTTGGAGTCACGTTCACATAATTACAAAGTATTTGTAATGCCTTAGAGGTGTGGCCATGGAGGTGAACAGTTCAGCACGGTGCTTCTGAAAATGGGTTACGCTATCCTGACACAGGACAGGCATGGTGTCACACAAAGTAGCTATGTGCACTTCATCTCCATAGCCATTTCACACCTAATTAAGTACACACAAGTCCTTAAATACAGGGACACACCAGTAAGGTCAGCGTATAACCTGCCACTAAACATAACTGTGCTGAGGGATGATCATCAGCATGTTTTTTCCAATTAAGGAGGTTGTATTAATAAGAATAGCCTTTAGTTCCTTAATTTAAGTTTCTTAACTTCAGTTCCTTAACTTAAACCTTACTTTTATTAAAAAGCTCAAACGCTCAATGCCTTCAATATTGGAATACTCATCTTTGTATTCCCCAGTGCATAATGCTTTATTTTATTTATTTTCAGAAAACTTACCACTCTTCACTCGTGCAGATTTACCAGGAGATGCCAAACACTACAACACAACTTTACACCAAAAAAAAAAGTATGAGAGGGCAAACGATGCAATAGCTCTGTGACCACAGTTACTGCAGACTCATGCACAACTGCTCTCGTACTCTTCTCCCATCCGCTCTTCAGTGGTGCCTCTTTTCACTGCAAGTCAAAAACACATTTAAAAACCAATTGAGAGAGCACGCGTGTGACGTGGCATGTACACCTTCAAGCCCAGCTACGCTCACGGCACCTTTATCCCTTCGGTGGGGCAGGTATAACCTCCGGAACTCAAGCAGTTCCTTCTCTTGCTTACATAGGCTCGCCACCGGGCTTTTCGCGCCCACGCCTTGGCTGCACATTAGCTGTTAATACGCCGCACCGCCGTCTCGGCAGCGCTGGGCCGGGCCGGGCCGCCCCTCCCGGCCTACCATAGAGAGGGACACGGGTGGGTTGTTCGCCGCCGTGCCGCCCCGCGGGCGACAACAGCGCCCCGCCCGGCCAAAGTCCTCCTCCGCAGCAGCCTGGCGCCGGGGCCGCGCTGCCCGTTTCCTGCTGCGCCCCACGGCAATAAAAAGCGCCAAAAAATAGCCACATCACGAGGAAGCCAAGAGTGGGGAGGAAGCGGAGGGGGGCAGGGCGGCCACGGCTGTACCGCTCGGTTCCCCCTGCCGCCACGGGGGTGACGCGGCCTAACGGCCGCGGCCTCCACGCCCCGCAGGCCCTGTAGGGGCGGCCCCGATACGCCGAGCTACGGGAGGCGCCGCTTCTCCCTGCTTGGCGTCGCTCGACCGCTCGCCTCCCGCCTCCCGAGCCCGGCCCTCCCGCCCCCGGCCCGCACTAACGCCTCTCGCCGTCCGCGCCGCCATCGGGAGCCGCGCGCCCCGCGCTTCCGCCCCGCGAGGACCCCTGAGCCGGGCTGCCCGGCGAGGACCCCTGAGCTGGGCTGCCCCGCAGCGCGCCTGACTCCGCGGCGCTGCGCCTTCCCCCGCCGCCCCTCAAAGCGCCGCCGCCCCCCGGCAGGCACCGCCGAGGACGGGCCGAGAGCCGGCGACGGGGCGCAGCGGGGCGACCACGCCGATGGAGCTGGTGGCCGGCTGCTACGAGCAGGTCCTCTTCGGCTTCGCTGCGCGGCCCGGACAGGTAACGCGGCACAAGGAAGGAAGGGGAGGCGAAGCACGCGCGGAGGCCCAGCGGCCGCCACCCACCTGAGGCAGCCCTGCTGCTCCTCGTCGTCGCTGCCGCTGTCGCTCGGGCCGTGGCCGCGGGGCTGCCTCGGGGTGGGCTTTTAAAGCTCGGCGGGGGCGGGGCGGCCGCCCGAAAGCACGGGCTCGGCCCACGGCGCGTGGGAGCGGCGGGTCCTTCGCGGCTCGTTGCCCTGCTGCCTTCCTGTCGGCCTCGTCGCACCGGGAGCCGCCACGTGATCCCCGAGGACCGGTGCCAGGCGGGAGGCGTGCGGGTGTCAGCGGGGGAGAACGGGCAGTCGGGCCGCCAAAGTCCTCTGCTGATAACTGCGTGCGGGTCCTGCGTGCGCACAGCCGCGTCTGAAAGTGGAGCTGATTATAACAGGTGGTCTGGGCGCTGAGATCGCCCTGTCTGGTCTTGTAACAGCACGTTAACTCGATGCTGCTCCATCATCCTTGTAGCTAAGTGTGATTTCTTTGCGTTTTACACGTCGGCTTTTTCAGATTTTGTGAACTCTGATCTTGGTCACTTCTTGGCTGATGAAGCCGTGAGGATCTTCTCTTCAGACAGACCCCTTCGTTTTGTTTCCTTCACAGCCCTGGACGGTTACCCCCGATTTTACCCACCATGCCCACACTGCTTCTCTGTCGGCCGTAGCAGTGAACAGCAAGTATGTGGTCACGGGGAGCAGGGATGAGTCGATCCAGATCTATGACATGAGGAAGAAGGTGGAGCATGGGGCACTGCTGCAGCACAATGGTAAGCATCAGGGATAGAAACTCAGAGCTCAGTTTCTGAATATTTGTTCGTTACCAGAAGAAGAAAATTCAGATTGTTCTGCTGTAGTCTTTAATAGTGGTGGTGTTTCAGCCACCGTGGTCTGATGATACAAACAAGGCAAGCTTTTGAGCGTGAAAATCCAAAAATTGTTTTAGGTGTCAGACCACAAATACATCTGCTGCTTCCAAATGTTTTCAGTTTTACCCATTTCAGAATTTATGGCCCAGAAATGACGTTAAGAATGATTTTTGTTCTACCAGGACAGTTTCTCCAGACCATGCCTGCTCCTAACAGCCATCTTTCTCCGTGTACTTGTTCCATCATCCACCCAAAAGAGATGGTTTGTATGTAAGGACAGGCTACTGCTGCCAGGAAGATTGCCTTGTACCTTAAAATCATAGAATCACAAGGTTGGAAAGGACCTACAAGATCATGTAGTACAACCGTCCTCCCATCACCACCGCTACCACAAGCACTAAACCGTATCTCGTAGCTCCTCATCCACACACCTCTTGAACACTGCCAAGGACAGCGACTCCACCACCTCCCTGGGCCGCAATTCCAGTGCCTGACCACTCTGAGAGAAAAAGTTTTTCCTTATGTCTAACATAAACCTCCTCTGGTATAACTTGTGGCCATTTCCTCGGGTTCTGTTTGTTGCCCGGGAGAAGAGGCCTCGTCACATCCTCCTTATCACCTTGCCTGATTTGTGTGCTTCCTAAATCACAGTTGTCAAAAAGACAAAGTTGATATTAGTCCATATAAATGTGTTCAGGTCACCTGGGACTCAATCCCAGTTGTCCTTTTTCTCCTGATAGTCTAGAAGTATAATGGAGCTAAATTCACCGTGGTACCTGTGTTCAACTTATGTACAGTAAACAGGGTGCTTCTGTTACAGTTGAAGCTGGCTGGGAGCTCAGCACCACACAGCCATTTGCTCACCATCCCCACCAGTGGAATGGAGGAGAGAAAAAAGGAAAAAAAGAACCCAAAAACTATTTGCTAAGACAGAGAAAAAGGAAATAGTGATGATGATAATTATGTTTGTACAGAACAAGTGATGCACAGTGCAGTTGCTCACCACTAGTTCCCAGCCAGTCCCTGAGTAGCAGCTGCACCCCCCAGCCAATTTCCCCCAGTTTTATAGTTTGTTCACATGATGACATATGGTGTGGGATATCCCTTTGGCCAGTTTAGGTCAGCTGTCCTGGTTCTGTCCACTCCTAGTTCCTTGTCCCCCCCAGCCCATCACTTGCAGGGCAGTATGAGAAGCTGATAAACTGAAATGTCCTTGTCTCTGTGCAGCACTGCTCAGCAACAACTGAAACGTCTGTGTTATCAGTGTTGCTTTTCTCCTAGAGCCAGAACACAGCATCATATCGGGCTCTATAATGAAAATGAACTCTGTCCCACCTGAAACCAGGACAGTGGTAAATTCAGCTGTGTGCCAAGAGCAAGGCTTTGATGTAAGAACACTGCATATCACTGGTAGAACCTGTGTGTCACCTGCACCATGCTGGCCAAGTACTGCTATGGCAGAGAGCAGATCAGACATTTCAGACATGTAGGACTGTAGAGGAACTAATAGAGCACATCAACAAATGTAACAGGAATGTCTGTAGCTAGTTTCAATGCTAGAAGCACCTCTGTTAGCTAATATGTTCTCTGTGTGGTAACTGTTAGTACGTACAAGATTGTTGATAGCTCTGGCTTGAATTTCTAGGCACAATAACTTGTCTGGAGTTCTATGGTACTGCACATCTACTGAGTGGGGCTGAGGATGGACTAATTTGTATCTGGAACACAAAGAGATGGGAATGCCTGAAATCCATTAAGGCGCATAAGTGAGTTTCTTAAATCTGCATATTCAGATGAGTTTTCATAATTATTTTCCTTGTAAATAATATGTGTGGCTAACACTTTGTTTTGTTTTTATCAGAGGGCATGTGACATCTCTTTCTATTCATCCATCTGGGAAATTAGCTTTGTCAGTAGGAACAGATAAAACATTAAGGTGAGTCCAAACTAATGAAGAAGGGCTCCGAATTATAGTTCAGTAATTTAGTAAATTCTGCTATAAGCAACAATTCCTTGTTGTGACTAGACTGTGTGAGACTGATGAAGCATATCTTCACATGAAATCATTTGTTTGTCTTTTAAAGTTCTAAGTACAAGTAATATTATCAAGTCTTTTTAAAATAGTCTTTTCTATTTCTAGCTTCATCCCTGGAGGCATTCAAGGCCAGGCTGGATGTGGCTCTGGGCAGCCTGGTCTGGTGGTTGGTGACCCTGCACATAGCAAGGGGTTGGAACTCGATGAGCACTGTGGTCCTTTTCAGCCCAGGCCATTCTATGATTCTATGATTCTTCTTGCTGAATTCTAACTCTTTTTAGTCATTTGTAGATGTGTGCATTTGCATTCTGGAATAAAAATTAAAGCCGTCGAGTTTTATTCCGTGTTAGAAAAGTAAATTTACACTTGGAGTGTATATGAGTTGCTACAGATATGTACAAGTATTTTAAGCATGCTGTGTTATCAAGACAAATTGGTATTTGGCTACCTTTTGTGCTCTGCATTGCAAACTGATTTAGAAAAATAAATATCACAGATTCAGCCTTGCAGTGTACAAGCAATACATTTAAGTCATCAATTTCTCCTGCATTAAGGAAAGCACTGAAAGATAGAGAGATGCTTAAAAGCTTCCTTCAGATGTGAGCTGACAGGGCTTCGGTTTCACTGTGCCGTTTAACCAGAATGCACATTATCTGTTGTTGTCTTTCAGAACTTGGAATCTTGTAGAAGGACGATCAGCCTTTATCAAAAACCTGAAGCAAAGTGAGTTTATCAGTCTAAATCCATTAATAAGTGGAATTAGACAGTTGGGGTTTTTTTGTTTTCTTTTTCTAGAAGGAAAGGCAGACTCTGTTAAATCAACAAGTCAGTTAATTGTGAGCTATTTTCACAATGTATTTTACACATGCTGGAAAGTACGTGTCCTTGAATTGTAGTCATTTACCAAAAGGAAAACACAGTGACAGTAAAAATCCTTTTTTCCTCCCCTGAAGTTTGATATCAGGACATTTAAACAAGTATGTTTTTTTTTCCTTCCTTTATTCACTTCTGTCAATCAGAAATGAACATTTAAGAGCATACATTGACTAGATTATTTTTCCTCTGAATTTTTCTCTGCTTCACCTAGAACATAGGAGGTAGCCACTAGAAGGATGTTTACTTTTAGTGTCTCATGTGTTACAGAATACAAAAAAACTGTGTATATGTATCTAAGAATGTTCCTCTGTCTACAGATGCCCACATAATTAAGTGGTCCCCTGATGGAGAGAAATATGTGACTGTGATAACAAATAAAGTGGATATCTACAAACTCG